AAAAAAAAAATGCCGGACACAAAAAAAAAAAAAAAAAAAAAAAAAAAAAAAAAAAAAGAAATGTGTTCAACAAGAGGGAATGCCCATCCCCTCCAAAAAAACCTAAAAGTTTATATTACAAATAATTTTTAAAGACATGGGAAGATGTTAAATAAAAATCCAGGAAACAAAACTGTAAATATAGTCTGACCTTGATTAGGTAAATATATGGTGAGGGGTCTGGGGACTGTATATTTATAGGAATTATATAAAATATCTTAAATAAAACACCTCAGGTGTTGAGGTAGGCTAGTTTTATTTTCCTCTTGGTTTTTCTTTTGGCATTTGCTATTTTCCTCATTTTCTGCATATTCTCCTGTTCCTTAAAACTTGCTTGCGCAGGCACCCCCTCATCTGGGGCTGGGGCTTCTAGTGGCCTGTCCCAGTGAAACAAGTGCTTTGGGCCATCTATGTCATGTTTGATTACAAAGTCATGTGAATGACAGACACTCCTGGGGAGCCAATGGCTCAGATTTTTGATTTGGAGAACAGAGTTCCCACCCCTGGAAAAAATGAGCTCCTGTAAATGAGACCCTGGCTCAACTAAGGCACTGCAACCACCATCACCACCACCACCAGCAGGTTTTCAACTCAAGCACATTTGGGGAAGAAAAGCAAGAAGAACGTCCTCCTCCTACTTCTGGTTTACTGCCTTTGAAATAATAGTTGCTGTCACATTTCTGTTAGAAGAAAGTTCAGTTTCCTGGTTGGAGCCACCATAGAAGTAGAGTGTGCCCCTCCCCCTCCCCTTCCTCTGCCCAGTTAACACCTGAGCTCCATCTCCCCCCTGCCCTTCCTGGAGGGGGTGGGACACAGGCCTGTCCTTCAGGGTAATGCCCACCTGGGCCTAGAGGTGGGTAGGGACTGGAGCCACTGCCTGGCCACCTTCACTCAGACTTGGGGAGAATGAGAGCAAAGGAAAATTTCAATGTGAACACTGCTTTGTAACCTTTCAAAATCACCTAGTCCTAAACACAGAGCAAGTCAATCATTTACTCACTGATTCATAAATAGTTATGGGACCCGACTCTGGGCATAAGTGGCACTGTGCTAGGCATGGGGGGAGGAACCCAAACAATGGAAACCCCTCCCTTTCCTCCAGGAGCATATAATCTAGTTAGACAATGAGGCACACTTAATAAACAGCTAAGTGACAAACCAGAGTCAGTCCCACACTGTGTAGAATAGACAGTAGGTGCTGTGGATGTTAGAATGGGCGGAGAGGAGCACTGTGGCTGAAGTGGTCTGAGAAGGAAGGCTTCCTGGAAGAGGGGACTCTTGAGTTGAGCCTTGAAGGATGGGTAGGATTGGGTGCTCACAGAGAATGGGAAAGGATCCCAGAGGTGGAGAATAGCATTAGCAAAGATATAGAGGTCACATGGACTGTAAGGAAGAGGAAAAGCCCGAGTCTGTAGGGACGGATGACCCTGAATAGGGCTCACACCTATGCTCTGGGAAGAAGGGGCTGTGGACCAGAGAGGGCCTCAGCAATGTCCCACCCAATGCAGGACAACACGATTGACTTCCTGGAGTATGTGGCTGCCCTGAATCTTGTGCTGAGGGGCACGCTGGAGCACAAACTGAAGTGGACCTTCAAGATCTATGACAAGGACCGCAACGGCTGCATCAGCCGCCTGGAGCTACTTGACATCGTGGAGGTCAGTGTCTCTGCCCATGGACCAGCCACCCGGGCACAGGAGCACTGCTGGGGCTCTGAAGCCTAACCACAGGTGACCAGCTGGGGTTGGGGAAGAGGCACTGACATCATTCTGAGTGTGTTTTCTGACCACAGTGAAATTAAGCTAGAAATCAATTACAAAAAACTAACTAGAAAATCCACATCTGTTTAGAAATTAGGCAATACACTTCCAAGTACCCTATGAATCAAAGAAATATCACAAACACATACACACACACACACGAAAAAAGTATTTTGAACTGAATAATAATGCAAATGTGATATACCAAAACTAGCAGAATGCAGCTAACGCTGGGCTTGCAGAGAAATGTATAGCCTCAAAATATATATATTAGAAAGTAAGACTAGGGCCGGCCCAGTGGCGCACTGCTACAGTGCGCCGCTTGGGAGCGTGGTGGCGCTCCCG